GTTTTTGTGTTATTGGGAAGACTAGCAATTAAAGTTAATCTCCATCTAATCTTAGGATCTGAATAGAAATATAATATCTTACAAATCTTAAAAGTTAGGACACTGCACTTAGCTTAACGAACTCAACAGACATTTATTGGGGATTTTGATACCACATTAAGTTAATCTAGTGTAGAGACAGATATATTTTTAAAAAGAACTCTTGACTCGAGCACTGCAGCTCTGACAAGCAGGGTAAGCAAACTCTTGACTCGAGCACTGCAGCTCTGACAAGCAGGGTAAGCAATGCTCAAATCTGGGAGGGAATAGATAGATACTAAAGAAGAGTAATGTTGGGCTAAGGAACAGAGTTAGAAAGATGAATGGAGAAAGCCACTGCAATACCCCAGTAAGAGTTAATAAAACTTTAATGAAAGCAGGGGAGAAATGTAATCAGAGCTAATAAGGACATAGAAGTAAATGGATGAGACCAATGCTTTAACAGTATCAAGTTGATTCAGATTTCAGTATGTGCTTCCTAGTCAGAGAACTAAAGAAGGAAGGAATAGAAATCTATTGTTGTTTTTTAAGGAATATAATACATTCAGTTTCTGTGTGTTAAGGTTTATCACCTTTTAAAGAGCTGGATTGAAGCTGCTCTTCTATAGAAGACACAGAAAGGTATCAAAATATAGGGGACAGTCTACAACACAGAAGGGCTCCAGTCTCCTAGGAAGAACACAGAAAAAAAAAAAAAAAACGCAGTGGATAAAGATAATACAGGGGGCCATGGACCAAAAGCAACACTCAGAGGAAATAAAAGAACAGACAGAAGAGGAGATATGGAAAGAACCATTCAGAAAGGATGAAAATCAGGCAAGAAAAAAGGTATCACACTTCCCAAAGCGAATAAAGAAATGCCAGTGAGTGAAAATGGTCAGCAATATCACATGTTGCAAAAATGATTAAAATATCAAAAAGTTGTTTACAGTTAAAGGAATAAATGCCCCAAACAAAACAGCTAGAAAAATTACAAGGTATTGATAGAAACCACCAGAGTAAACCACTCTTTTTGTAGCAGACAGGATTTGGAAGAAACATGATGATATTATTAGCTTCCCAAAACAATATGTATCCCAGGGGTGGTTCAGGCCTGAGAAATCCAAGAAATATTGCTTACAAAAGGTAACCTCATCAGAGTAATAGATTCACAGAACACAAGGCAGATAGCCAACAAAGGAAAAGTCACCAGTGACATGGGAACTACAGGTGAGATTAGGAGGAGGCAGGCCAGAGGAGCAAAGAAACAGCATATATAATCTTCCACACCTATGGCAGACAGAATGGCCCACACAGAGAGGTATACTGCCCTAATCCCTGGACCCTGTATATATGAATTATATTATATGGACTGTGCAAATGTAAATAACATAATGAATCTTACAATAAATAAATTATCTGGGTTTATCTGGAAAACATAAAGGGGGCCAATTAAAGCAGAAAACTTTCTCTAACAGAGGAAGAAGATTTGCACATCAAAACAAGTAGTCAGAAATTGTAAGCATAAGACAGATTCAATGTATCTGAGATACAGGGTATCTCTAGAAACTAAAAGCAGTCCCCAACTGTTAGTCATCAAAGAAACAGGAACATCAGTCCTACAACTGCAAGGAATTGGATCCTGCCAACAACAACAATAAACTTGGAAGATCCTTCACAAAGTCTGTACTGGGAGCCTAGCCAGCTGGCACTGGTTTCAGCTTCAAGAAACCCACAGAACCAATGAGGTCAAGCTGTATTTCTAATCTACACAACTATTGTCCATTTATGTTGTTTTGAACCCCTAAATCCATGGCAATTTGCGCCAGCAGCAATAAGAAATTAACATAACATCCCAAGATACCAATGGTGCTTATAAATGCTCTAGAGCAGGAAGTACCTGTCTCTCCTCATCTCCAGTCTTATCCTGGAGGAGAAAGATTCAGTCTAGAAAGTAGGGCAGAAAGGCAAGGATAGGAAGCAGAAGCCAACCACACCACATCAGCAGAGCCTTCTGCAGGCTCCAAGCAGAGCAAGCTGGCAAAAGAAAAAAAGCAACTGTTTTCTTGGGATGAAAACCAAGTTATTTAACCTAAGCCATGGTTTTTACCACCTACAGCAATAAAGCTGTAGAACCTGCCTGGAATTTTATTCAGGGTCAGGGAAAAATAAGTTGAGAGAGCAAGAGCTGGAGGCAAAAGCTGGAATAAACAAGTCACTTTTAGCTTCAAAACCCAGCTATGTGTATCTACAAGGAGTATAAAAGGAACCACTGGAAGAAACTCCAGAAATCAACTACACAGACAGTGATGAACACAACTATTTCACATTATATCTAAGATCCACAAAGGAACCAAGATGGGCTTTTGGGTAAAAAGTTTTGGGTAAAACTCCAACTTTCCCCAAAGACAAATGGGGAAAGAGTCCTTAAAAAGTAGAACCAAAAGCTCATCACTACTTTAGTATTATAGAGACGCAGTAAACCCATATCCTAAGTAAAAGCTAAATGAGTACAAATGTTCAAGTCTTATGCTGTACTTCACACTCATTAAGTTATTAAGTCAACACAGTCTTCCAAAAGGACTGTCTTCAGGAGAAAAAAAGAAGCATTCTCTAAAACCAAGTTTTTACTTCATATAAAAATTAAACTTTTGATAAATTGATAAGTAATAATATATATATTTTTAATTGCATACCACCAAAACAAAGAACTATATACAATTTTTAGCATGAAATTTCCAAAGGTGCAAGTGCCAAAAAGTTAGCATGGCCAATTATTAAATGTAACTTTCTCAAACAGTTTTTATTAATGGAGATATGTGTAAGAAAAAAAAAAAATCAAATCCAGTTGAATCATTCTTCACATAGAAACAGTTTTAAGTTTGTAAAAATAATTGTTTTTTAAATGTGGCACCCTGAAAAGTCTCATTAATATCACTGATTGACATTTAGAGGAGGAAAAGATCCTTCTCATTTCTTTAGTTTTCACCTTTGGAATCAACAGCCCCTTTTCCCTTCAGCATATTGTGATTTACTCAAAGAATCAGTAAGGAAAGTAAAGAATCTGTTTCTTATTTTTGAACAATAACTTAGTGAGGCAGACTCATTCCTTAGCATACTGAATAGTCCTACCAAAGCAACAGTTTCACTTTATTTTTGCTGAGCAAAGTAAAACCTTGACTGCAGAAGATCTGCCTCAGGCAGACCTGTTCTAGGTTTAACAAGGGATCTAGCCCACTTATCAAAGAAGTATTCTGTCAATACTTCAAAAATTCATATTTCCATCTGCCCCATAGTCTTACTAAAATTGACAAATCATCTTCCTTTCCTGGGTAACAGCAACATCAACAACAAAAATAACAAACAATATTCAATACTTCCTGGGTAATTTTCCTTTTAACTGTGTGTGGTAATAAAATGTGGTTTCCATGAATCTTTAACATCAACAGGCTCCTTCATATGTCACCTACTACTATGACCAAAAAACGTAAGGCAGTCACAAGTGAGCCATAAAACTACCATTCCAAAATTTCAAGGGTTATGAAAATAAGTGATTCCTTTTATAGGGCATGGAAAAGAGGAAGAAAAGGGCACTTTACCATCCTAAGTCACTAACAGTACACTAAAGAGAGCTGGTTTCATACAAACCTTACCAATAGTGGAAAAGGCTACCAAAAGGAGAAAAGGTTGCTTTTTCTGGTTCTTGGTTGAAAATATATCAACTCATAGTATGAAAAGAGTGGAGAAGGAGTTATACATATGTGGTTAACAAATCAAAACTAGCATTTCAACAAGACCAGGCATAGTCTAGGGTTCATGCCAAAATTCTACTATGCTCAGTGATAAATAGTTAGGAATCACTGACACTATGAAAAACCCTTTGAAGGCACAAACTAGGCATGGATTCTTTCTGGTGTCTTCTGAACCTCCATGTGTAATACTGGACACAAATCTTGTGATGAATAAAAAATAAGGCAGCATAACGGCAAATACGTCACTGATTTCAGCTGATGAGTTAGACCATTTGTTCACTCTCGCTGTGGAAATGGAGTTCCTCTTGGTGAAATGGGCTAGCTATAGAATAAAAGCTAAGAAAGGCAGGGTGCAAAAACACCACAGGACACAGAAAGTAATTTCAAAAACGGGGTGGAGTGGGCTAGATGAGCTATCAATTTCTCTAAAAATTGATAAGGCAGTCAAAAACAATACACAGAAGAACAGACATAACCAGAGTAAGTCATGATTCAGAAAAAAGAGACAATTCCTCAGGATGACACACAAAATCCTCTCCTAATCTGACTCAAGTTATCACTCCAATCTAATTTATCTGACCTGTTTTTGACCTAGCTCTACACCTGAGCTCATTGTCATTTCATTATTCTCAAAGATTTTCCCCACCCTCTGCCTACACAAATCCTATCCTGAGTTGAGACCTGGCTTCCTTCACCATTTCTACTAAATTTTCCTAAACTACTTAATACTCTATCTATTGTGGTTTTCACAGAAAGTAATTAGATATATAAAAACTAATGTAGTTCTTCCTACAATGAACTTACAAAGAACTTAATTATTAAATACTACTTTCTGACATTTCTTACTCATTTTTCAAATATTTGTTGGGAATCCTAGAAGATAAGCAACTTGGAAGTAGGAACTATATATGTAAATAAATTTATTTAGATTAAATTAGCATTTATTTATAGCAAATGACTTCAGTATACATAACATGTGGGTTATTAGTCAAATTAGTTTGGAAATACCACAGGTTGACTCAAAGAATCACCTGGCCTCAAATGACACCATGTGTCTAGCAGAAAAGGCACACACAAAAAAGTATGGTCCAAAAGCCAACTATGGTTGAAGTGCTATCTTCAGAAACATCTGCAATCACCCTATAAAACCTAACTTGCAAATATGTTTGAAGTTCTTTCACAGGAACATAACAGACTTCACATCATTTTATAGAGAATCAAAATTCTTACCATCATCTCTTCAAAAAGCTGTAGGACTTCATTCTCTGACAGTGGCTTTGGGATGCTTCCCATGATCTCTGAAGGTGCTGATGAGCAGTCATGGCCTGCAAACACAGTCTTCACGTTGGGAAGAGGAGTTCTCTCTTTCTTGCTCCCTGGAATTCTTATGCTGGCAAATTTGTCCAGCTACATAGAAAGATAAAAGAGCACATATATAAGCATTCCCTCTCCCAACATTTATCTAATTCCAAAAGTGGAAAAAACAGAGGAAATCATATTGTCACTGTGATTTCAAGAGGCATTCGGAAACAGAATCTTTAATAATAAAAAGTGGTGAAAATTTTTCAGAAACCATCCTATCTAAAAGTAGATGAGAAATCGAACAACCTCAAAAATCATTCCTTCTAATCTTAAAATCATTCAATTACAGATTCTAGTAACAAGTGACCTTTGCTTTATAGAGTAGAAAAACCAAGAAGTTTTACAAAGGCAATTTCCCTAATACAGTGGTGACACCAAATTAGTACTCAGTGTCCTACTCCCAGCCCATCACCAGGCAAGTTCTGGAATAGCATAAACAGGTTGAGAAGCAGGGTGTGACAGGACATGATTAGGAATTATACTGAATTCTACTTATGTCATGGATACAAGAATTAATATTGTCAAAATCACCTTACTATCAAAAGGATTATACAGATTTAATTCAATTACAATCAAAATCCCAATGAAATTCCTCATAGAAATAGAAAAAGCAGTCACGAATTTCATCTGGGAATAGCTAAAACAATCCTCAGCAAGAAGAGTGAAGCAGGTGGCACCAGTATACCAGACCTCAAACTGTAATACAGAGCAATAGTAACAAAAACAGCATTGTATTGGCACCAAAATAGATCTGTAGACCAGTGGTACAGAATACAGGACACGCAGACTAACCCACATAATTACAATTATCTTATATTAGACAAAGGTGCCAAAAACATAGATTGGAGAAAAGATAGCATTTTCAACAAATGATGCTGGGAAAACGGGAAAACCATATGCAACAAAATGAAATAAAACCCCTATCTCTCACCATGCACAAAATTCAACTCAAAAGTGGATCAAGGACCCAGGAATTAAACCAGAGACACTGCGTCTATTAGAAGAAAAAGTAGGCCCCAATCTCTATCATGTCAGATTAGACCCCAAGTTCCTTAATAAGGCTCCTATAGCACAAGAATTAATATCAAGAATCAATAAATAGGATGAATTCAAACTAAAAAGCTTCTTCTCAGCAAAAGAAACAATCAGTGAGGTAAATAGATATCCTACTAATTGGGAACAAATTCTTACCACACGCACAGCAAATAGAGCACTATCTCTAGAATACATAAAGAACTCAAAAATCTCAACATCAAGAAAACAAATAACCCAATCAATAAATGGGCCAAGGAACTCAACAGATACTTCTCTGAAGAAGATATACAATCAATCAACAAATAAATGAAAAAATGTTCAACATCTCTAGTAATTAGAGAAATGCAAATCAAAACTACTCTTAAGATTTCATCTCACTCCAGTCAGAATGGCAGCTATTAAAAAAATAAACAACAATAAGTATTGGAGAAGATGTGGGGATAAAGGCACACTCATATATTGCTGGTGGAAGTGCAAATTGGTGAAACCAAAATGGAAAGCAGTATGGAGATTCCTTGGAAAACTGGGGATGAAACCACCATTTGACACAGCTATCCCACTCCTCCTCATTCTATACCCAAAGGACTTAAAAACAGCGTACTACAGGGACACAGCTACATCAATGTTTAGAGCAGCAAAATTCACAAGAGGTAAACTGTAGAACCAACCTAGATGCCCTTCGGTAGATGAATGGAAAAAGAAAATGTAGTATATATACACAATTGAATATTACTCAGCAATAAAAGAGAATAAAATCATGGCATTTGCAAGTAAAAAGATGGAGTTCAAGAATATAATGCAAAGTGAAGTTAGCCAATCCCAAAAACCAAATGCCAAATGTTTTCTCTGATATAAGGAGACTGATTCATAGTGGGGCTGGGAGGGAGATCATGAAAAGAGTAGACAACTCTAGATAGGGCAAAGGGGTGAGAGAGAAAGGTAGGGGGCATAGAGGTAGAAAAGATGGTGAAATGAGACGGACATCATTACCCTAAGTACATGTATGAAGAGATGAATGGTAAGAATATACTTTCTATACAACCAGAGATATGTAAAGTTGTGCTCTATTTGTGTAATATGAATTGTAATGAATTCTGTTGTATTTAACAAATTAGAATAAAAATAAATTAAAAAAAAAAAGATAGACCTAGAGGGGGCCTAGATATTGGAATTACCAGACAGGCAGTTTAAAACTAGAAAACAAAAAGACATAATTTAAGAAGTGTATTTGACAGCAAGTAGAGATGGGAAATTCATTTCAGCAGTAAAGTCACAGAAACTACTTTTTAAAAAATGCATTAGAAATAAATAGTATACCAGGAGTGAAGATTTCATTGAATGGTCGGTCTGCACAGAAACCTGCATATAGCTGAGAAAAGAACACATATCAATAGAAAGTACTCAAACTAAAACACAAAGAAGAAAAACATAGGGAAGCAGGGAATCAAAGAGTAACCAAGATCTGAGACACTATATAGAATGTCATAACACAAGTGTACTTAGGATCCAGAAGCAGAAAGAGAATGGTATGCAAGAAACATCTCAGGAAACACATGGAGAAACAAAGACTAAAATACATACATACAGATCTAAAAAAACATACAGACATACAGATACAAGCAGCTCAGGAAAATACAATAAGAAAATAAATATAAACACTTAAGCATTCCACAAACTGCTGGAAATTAAAAATAAAAGGCAAACCACAGCAGCACAGCCAAAGAAATAAAGACAAATTATATAGGGAAAAAAATGATATAATATGACAGCTAATTTCTCAGCAAAAACAATGACAACAGTGCTAAAACAAAAAATAGATTCTTTAAAATCTGATGGAAAAGTACTACCATTTTGAGATTCTGTATTAAGTGAAAATACCTTTTATACCTAGAAGCAAAATAATGACATTTTCAGACAGACCAAAGGGAAGACAACATCTGCAGCACATTTGTACAATAAAAAGTGTCAAAGTAGTGTTACTATTTTGATACTACATGGTGATACTACATGGTATCTCAGACCTTCGAAAAGAAATGAAGAGCAATGGAGAATTCATTAGATGTTGGTGATACAAAGATAAATAAGCAGCATAGGACTTACCTGTGTAATAATCAAGTAGACTAGCACACAGGCAGTAATTTTACGGCTATATGAAAATGTAGCAAGGGGTATATAGAATTTATCCATATAGCAAGGAAAAGTGGCATCTGCCTCAAGAATATAAACGTCCTCTACTCTGAAAAAACCCAGAACAAAAACTGTCTCTTCCTGAATTATGTGCAGAAGTTACTGTCCCTCTGTATATCTGTGAACTCATTCTTGATTTTTGTCTTAAACAACTGGGAAATGAGAATGGAACCGGTTCCTCTATCTTTTGAGTTTTGACTTAGTGCCATCACTTCTGTGCAGCTAATATGAATTCCCAAAGATAAAAACTACTCCAAGTCTTCACACAAATCGAAACTTGATTAATATGCCGAACTTATAATGAAGTGAAATTACGCAAATCATCATTAATGCAACATCAATATTATAAATGTAAACATGTCAATAAATGGGAATAGTCCGCTTAAGCACTTAAGCTTCTGTGTAAATGAATAACCTAATGGTTCCATTAGGGACAGATTGTGTAAAACTTTAGTTTCCAACAACAACAAAAAAATAAAATAAAAATTAAAAAACCTGCTTTTAAATAAAAATCTCTAAAAGTCATGAAACTAACAATGGCTAATAAGTACTGAATGAATGCTTTCTGTATGTCAGGTACCAGCTAAGAGTTTGAAATGCAGCATCAGGTGGAATACATTTGCTTAATCCTTAGAAAAAAACTGCATTTCTAAACAAAGAATAAGCTCAAAAACTCTTCCTACATAAAAATTTCATAGTATTTAGCTTCTAAAATAGCACAAAGGGGGGAAAAATCTACCTATTATGTTTTTAGCAGTAAACTACATTTATACAAGTAAATTTAAAACACAAAAATTTGAAAAATAACAATAAATATATATATATGCTTAGCACCTAAACCCTGGGAAAGGGTTGGATCTTACCCAAGTGGAAAAGCTAATTTGAATCTCACCAGCATACAGCTGGCCAAAGGCAAGATAGGAAAAATTAGCATATTCTTTTTCCAGTTTATCAATTGACAAAGGCCCAGAAAGGAATATAAGATATGAGATGCGAGATAGGAATATGATTATCAGCTTTCACATTCTTGATGTATTAATTTTATTTATTTTTCCTAATTAGAAGGGTGAAAGACAAAATAAGGCAAGAGCCATAGGAGGAAAAGAAATGCAATCCTTTTTCCTATACCAGAACAGTAAACTGAGCCTGTTGAAACCTTGGGCTTATAGTAAAAGCACACCAAGGTATGTAATGCTGTTGAGCTCTCCAGGTAGACTCCACAAAATCTGGACATTACCAAGATAAGGCAAAGTAGGCCTCACTACCAAATCACTTTAAGATAGTGTTAAACAAATTTCATTTTGCAAAGAAATGTTACTTTGATTCTGAGCACAAGTGGATTTTTCTTTCACTGAATTTCACATACAATTTGCTTAAAGCTATGTACAACAAGACACATGAGCAAACCTTAAAAATAATTTTGCACATAAATATATGATAGAAATCCAACACATGAACAAACTTTAAAAATAATTTTACACATAAAAATGATAGAAATTCCCACGATACTAACTGCAAGATGGCTGTTATTTTGTTATTTGGCAATTGGCTAGAGATAATTTATGTGTGTTTTATAATTTGTGTACTCTTTATTTTCATATAAAAATTTTAGTTTTATATGGAATTCTTTTCTTAAAATCAAACTAGGAACTCAACCCAGGCAAATAAAGTACACAAATGATTCACACTGAAGAACCTGGTTAAACACAGAGAAAACAGGGAATTCCATTATAATGTTCTTTGGAGGTGGTATACCACAATTAAAACAGCTTTGACTGTGTCTGGGGCGTACTAAGCTTTATAAATTAATATTACTTGTCTTC